TGTGTGTGTGTGTGTGTGTAGTGTGTGTGTGTGTGTGTGTGTGTCTGTGTGTGTAAAGGTGTTTGTTTGCTGTGGCAGGTTGAGGGTTGTTTGGTGTGTTCAGCTGTTTGTTTGTTGTGTTTCAGGGCTACATGAAGAGGCAGGCTGTGTTTGCGTGTAACACGTGTGTTCAGGCTGGTATGGAGCCGGCTGGTGTGTGTCTGGCCTGTGCAAACACGTGTCATGACGGACACGACATCTGTGAACTTTACACCAAAAGGTCTGAAGGATTCATCCATTCATCTGATCAGCACTTCTGAAGCCTTGAGATTGACTGAAATAATTCACTTGTCAAGCAGTCAGAATATTTGAAGAAATAACTCACTCACTGAGATGTCTGTGAATTGTTCTGCAGATCAAATGTTTGTTCATGAGTGTGTTTGTTTGTTTTGTCACAGGAATTTTCGATGTGATTGTGGCAATGAGAAATTTCATGGCTTCAAATGCAAGCTTGATACTGTAAGTGTCTGAAATGATGAACGTTTGAGTTTGTCCTGATGTTTTACGTGATTGAATGTGTTGTGATGTAATGTGACGTTCAAAGGACAAAGAAGGACAGAATGTGAAGAACTGGTACAATCACAACTACTTGGGACGCTACTGCTCGTGTGACAGACCGTATCCTGATGAAGACGACCAGGTTTGTGACTCTTCTGACCCTCAGCGTTTACTGTGTGATGAAGGCTAGTGGTGAATTACCTGTTTGTGACTCGTTTGAACTCTTTCAAGGTTAATGAAGAAATGATCCAGTGTATCGTGTGTGAAGACTGGTTCCACGAGAAGGTACACACACACACACACTCTCTGTTTTATTCTGCCTTTCCGCTGGACTCTTCTTCTTGATGTTTCAGCATCTGCAGGCTCCAGCGGTGGACTGTGAGGCGCTGATGGAGATGATCTGCGGTCGCTGTATGACTCGAGCGCCGTTCCTCCAGACGTATGCGGCTCATTTTGCAGGTGGGGCAGTTTGATTGTGTCTGTAGGACGTGGTCTTGTGTTTGTACATTGCTAAAGATCAGTTTAGCTTTTTTAAATCTACAGGTGCATCTCAATAAATTAGAATGTTGTGGAAAAGTTCATTTATTTCAGTAATTAAACTCAAATTGTGAAACTCGTGTATTAAATAAATTCAATGCACACAGACTGAAGTAGTTTAAGTCTTTGGTTCTTTTAATTGTGATGATTTTGGCTCACATTGAACAAAAACCCACCAATTCACTATCTCAACAAATTAGAATATGGTGACATGCCAATCAGCTAATCAACTCAAAACACCTGCAAAGGTTTCCTGAGCCTTCAAAATGGTCTCTCAGTTTGGTTCACTAGGCTACACAATCATGGGGAAGACTGCTGATCTGACAGTTGTCCAGAAGACAATCATTGACACCCTTCACAAGGAGGGTAAGCCACAAACATTCATTGCCAAAGAAGCTGGCTGTTCACAGAGTGCTGTATCCAAGCATGTTAACAGAAAGTTGAGTGGAAGGAAAAAGTGTGGAAGAAAAAGATGCACAACCAACTGAGAGAACCGCAGCCTTATGAGGATTGTCAAGCAAAATCGATTCAAGAATTTGAGTGAACTTCACAAGAAATGGACTGAGGCTGGGGTCAAGGCAGCAAGAGCCACCACACACAGACGTGTCAAGAAATTTGGCTACAGTTGT